TTTCTATTATCTCTCTTTAATTACAAAGATTTTCTGCAGATTTTCTGGATTTTTTTAAAAAGACGACATTTGAAGAATTTAAAGAAATCTGCGAACAAATTCATATAAAATTAGAAGTTCAATATAATGTTGAAAAAGGAAATAATTAATTCAAACTTCGATTTATTGACAATTTTCTTTTGAGAAATATGTTCCTAAACATCTAATTAGATTTTTTACTTTATTTTTCATCGTCGTTATTTAATAATTAAAAAAAAAACAATTCTGAAAACGTACCCACCCAAATTCGTGATTTTGAGCGTCTGCTTTGCGCTCAAACTCAGTAACTATACATCGTGGAAACGTTTTTTTATGTCTCCTAAAGAATTTGTCCACAACACTGCATACTCAGTTCAATTACCTTAAATAGCCGGTCTGTCCCTTTAACAACTTACTATTTGAGCTATTTTCTTTGTAACAACATCAATTGCACATCACTATTGCTTTATTGTCGTCTTCCTATTCTACAGTGTCTATCACTGTAATAAAACTGTTCATTGTGGTTAGTTCATTGAAAAATTGCTGTTCATCGTTCTTCAAAATGTATTATCTAAAAAAAATGTCCTTGTTTATGTCATGGCCATAAAAACATCCCCAAAAAAAATATTTGATATCAGCTAACTGAATACCCGCTAATTTTACCACCCTTTCCCTTTTCACCTCTACTCCCCCTTTTACTCCCCCCCTATCTTTACCCCTACTCATTTCCACCGCTACTGTGGTTAGTTTTATATATGTTCGCTGTTTAATTGATTTCCAAAATAAAAAGTTTATAAAAAGTTGATGAACTGAATATTGTTAGATGGAATTTATAGCACAGAGTGTCTCTGATAAAAATGGAACCTAGAAACTTATTATAGATTATAGAATATTTAGTCGTTTTGATTGTTTTTAGGAAAACTCCAAATATATAGAGGTTTTTATAAGTGTTTTTAAGAAAGATGTTTAATAAATTTTATGTTCTAAAGATTGAAAACGAAATTTTACATTTTTTTTATACACCCTGTAGATTTTACGGCGAGTTTTCTACTCAATATTGGTAGAATTCTCAAATCTTTTATGATAATTTGAAAAAATTCTTTGAAGCGTTTAATTTTCCAGTTTTCACCAAATTGTCCGCAATTATTTAACGATTTGTGTTTGGATACTATAATGTTTAAGCTTTCTAGATAATAATCTCAAATTGAGAAAACAAAAAAACTTAATTTGAAAATTCAATCATCCTTAATATTGAAAAACCAACAATTCTAAATTGGTCGCTTAAAATTTAAAGGGACTGTAGCCGTAATTTCAAGGGACACAATATTTAAAGGGACTGTAGCCGTAATTTCAACCCTTTATTTAAAGAGTAACTTCGATTAACAACGGTACACTTGAAATCCTTGTCTGATCGAAAAATCCATGATGAATTCGTATTTATATTCCACCCCTTCACTTTAAATACTTTCCGAACCCCTTCCCTTTAACAAGAATATACCCTCAATTCCATTAGATTCTTTCCCAACCCCTTCCCTTTAAACATGAATATACCCTCAATTCCTTTAGATTCTTTATTAATCCCTTCCCTTTAAACAAGAATATACCCTCGATCCCTTTAGATTCTTTATTAACCCCTTCCCTTTCAACATGAATATACCTTCGATCCCTTTAGATTCTTTATTAATCCCTNATTTAGATTCGTTTTCGACCCCCTTTCCATGATCTGACCATCCATCCCTCCCCTTTCTATTCCTTTAATACATACTAGTCCCACCTCCCTTTATATTCTTTATTAACCCCTTCCCTTTAAAATTCTAATATCTTATTATCCCTTTTACTAAATCCTTTACCATCCCATACCTTTAATTAATAATATACCCTCCCTCCCTTTAGATTTCTAATTAGTCCTTCTTCTCTTTAAAATTTAAGGATCTTATAAACATCTATCACCTTTAAATCCATTCCCATTCTATCCCTTATATGATTAACGTAACCATCCCTCCCAGCCCTTTCACTCATAAGTTACAACCCTACCCTTTAAAATCTAAAGATCTGACCCTGCACATAGATTCAGGCTGCTCTGAAAAGTTTCATGAATGGGTCGGGTTTAAAGTATCGTAAACCTTGGCTTTTGATTTTAACTCTCTACGTCACTTTTCCTTTTTGTAGCCCTTGACAAGTATATTGTAAACCTATAAATCTTTAGTTTTCAATGAGTAATTTGCAAAGTTCTCATCGATTTGAACGTGAAAGCTTGAAACCTTTGGAGTAACGTGGCCGTTTCCTTAGTCTATGCTTTAACCTTATCTCCCCCCTCCCTCCTGACTTCTCTCACCACCCTGATAACTCTTCTAAACTTTCAAATGTTTGTTTTAATAAAAAGTTCACTTCCGCTATTTTTAAAAGGTTTTGATAAGGAGGTTACCCTTGCTTTTTGTTCACTTTGCTTTCCATCAGAGTTCTGGAGGAAAAGTTAATATTGCTCTCTCGTCTTTTTTGACATAGAACATGTTGATCGCCATTTATGTGCTGTAAACTTTTTTTTCATCTGTCACTTTTTATTGATAAAACTAAATTATCAAATGCTTGTCATCGAAACCTACTTATCTAATATGCTTGCAAATTCTTTAGTAGAAGATTTATTAACTTTTTAATAGAAGATTTAACTCTTTAATAGAAGATTTAACTCTTTAATAGAAGATTTAACTTTTTAATAGAAGATTTAACTCTTTAATAGAAGATTTAACTCTTTAATAGAAGATTTAACTCTTTAATAGAAGATTTAACTCTTTAATAGAAGATTTAACTCTTTAAAAGAATATTTAACTCTTTAATAGAAGATTTAACTCTTTAGTAGAAGATTTAACTCTTTAATAGAAGATTTATCTCTTTAATAGAAGATTTATCTCTTTAATGGAAGATTTAACTCTTTAATAGAAGATTTAACTCTTGAATAGAAGATTTAACTCTTTAATAGAAGATTTATCTCTTTAATGGAAGATTTAACTCTTTAATAGAAGATTTAACTCTTGAATAGAAGATTTAACTCTTAATTGGAAGATTTAACTCTTTAATAGCAGACTTAAGTATTTAATATCAAATTTGACTCTTTAATATCAGATTTAAGTATTTGATAATTTAACCCTAACTCTTTAAAAGTAGATTTTAGTTCTTAATAACTCTTAACAACAAATTGGACGCTTGAACTCTTTAAAGTCAGTTTTAATTCTTTGTGCAGGAGTTTTAACTCTTTAGCAGATTTAACTTTCTGAAAGCAGATCCAACTCTTGTTTTTCTTACACAACGTGTATTTGTATGTTTTATTTCTGATCATTTTTGTAATCTTGAAATAGTTTTGTTATAGTTTTATAGTTAAACAATAGTGTAGTAAAGTGCATTAATTGTGTATTGCAGTGCAATATTGTACGTGATACTTACATTATCTGCAGTTCAGTCTAGCCACTGTCTAACTTAAATGAACTGCATTATTCCTGTAATCATTAATATTCTTCATCCTATTCTATTCTATACTTTTCAGGCAGTGTCGTTAAAGTTACATCCTATACATGCTTTCATTCATTCATTCATCTTATTCATTTCATACATCCTGCTTTTTAATTCTAATATTTATCATCTACAGGGGGGAGAAAAAAACATAAGTTGAATAAAAGATAAATTATAAAAAATTCAGAGACGACTGTACGGACTTACCTTATATTTATATTTCCTTGAACTGTAAATGTGTTTTCTGTCTTTGCTTAATTATTTATTAAGCTATTAAAAGTCTTTATTCGTGGCCAAAAAAACACAAGTAAACCTTGGGGTCGTCATATTTTAAGAGTATTCTGTCGTCTTCACAATCTCATACTTTGCGGGTAACCTTGTGTTTTGAAACGAAATTTAATTCTAATCTCTACCGTTCAAAGTTAGACCCGACTTGGTGCGTTTTGTGAAAGTTTTAAAATTAGATTTAACATATATTAAGTCTCAAGGCTTTTTTTGTTTTTTACCACGGCCAAATTTGTTTGTCCAAAAGTATGAAAACTTTAGGTGATCTTAAGGAAAAAGTTCTGAAGTAATAAAGAATATTAAGTTTAAAAAGTTGAGATTAAAAAGAATTTTAAAACAAAAAGATTTGTCTCTTTTTGCATATTTTTAGAAAATTATATTATATACAGGGTTACATTCAAAGAAGACTTTTGAGCTTTAAAGTGTTTTTTTGAAGATTACTTATTTCGGTGCTATATTATTAGAGTCTGAGAAGAAATCATCATCATTGGAGTACTTTCGGAGTCTCCGTTGCAAATCCGGGGGTCTCCGGTAAAACTCCGGGGGTCTCCGATAAAAATATGGGGGTCTCCAGTGAAAGGGGGTCTCTGACTGTCCTGGATCCAACAATGAAGATATTATTATCAGTTTTTATTTTTGTAAGATATATTATTTAATGTAAATCTAAAAATAATAACATCCCAGTATTAACTAATTTATAAAGTTGCAAGGTCATGCATACAAAGTCGTATTTAAATGAATTATTTAAATGAATTTAAATCTGTCAAGACAGTCATCAAAAGCTCATCCTTTGTGGGCAGCCCTGTACCTCGAAAACAAAATTTTTTATGTATATTTCCAAGTTTCCAGATTTCTGGAAATGTAATGTAAACTTTTGATTACACATTTTATACTTAAGAAAAAAATAGATGAGACTAGAAAGTTTTAAGATTATATTATCGTTTCTCAATACATGAGAAATATTCTCTAAAAAGGGACATTACACTCAATACCTTTTAGCACCTGTCCCACAAATAATTGTGAGCATACAGTGTGTCCGATTAAGCTTTTTCTGGTAATTTTGAGATACAAGGTTATCCACAAATGATGAGACTTCAGAGACGACTGTAAGGAATTTCTGCAGTATATTTCCTCAAATTTATGATTCCCTGCAACTGTAAACTTGTTTCTCTTTTTGCCAAATTATTTGAAAAGCCATTATACGAGTTTATTAAAATTTAACTTTGGAATTTGGGATCGTTGTATTCTAAAAGTTTCAGGTCGTCTTTACAGTCCCATTCTTTGTGGGAACCCTATATATTGCGCCACACGTAAACCCAGTTAAAAAATATATTTGACTCTTGAATTATTATTATGAAATAGTCGTGATATTTCCAAAGTGTGGTCTGCCTATTTTGAATTTTTGAATTTTAAAATTAATGGAAATATCAACAATTTCATTTAGATTAAAATAAAAATTATTCTACAAAACCTTAAGTTATTTTAAATCACACTTTGTCAAAAAAATACATGTTTAAACAAAATTATTTTAAATTTTTTTAATGAAACAAAAAAAGCAATATTTATAGTTTGATATAATGGGAATAAGATTAACTACACTTTTTTATTATTATTTTAAAATGTGAATAGTTTCCGGATTCTTCAGCTGTCGATTGTAAGATTTCAAAACAGCTGTTTTTTAAAACTTGATTCCAGTCCAGTACGTGGCAAAGTCGCGAACAATGATCATATTGAATTCCATGCTACCAGCGGGGTCATCCTATATATTATATGGTGGTAACTAATTTGCAAAGAGGAAAATACCTGATTTATAACAGTACCCTTGACAACTTTATCCAATCAAAAATGTAGACGATTGTCGCTCCTGTAGGTTCAAAAGTGTTTGATTCTGATCATTTCTACATGTTTCTGCAGTGGAAATTCACAAATCACTTTTTGTAAGGGCACCTTGTGAATCAGACATTGCTATTTTTGCCAGAAGGGTCCCTTAAAATTAAGCAAACAACCCCTTTAAGTTTCTAATCTATATGATTAAAATCGTTAATACCTTGATGAAAATGGCGTTCACTTCAGATTTTGTTGCATTACTTACATGTGTAATTCCTGAAACAAGTAATCAAATTTATCCAAAATTTCTTCAGGAATATTTATTTTAGATTCTTACATAGATTTTTCACTGGCAGACAAGCGGATAAACAACTACAGGAATTCTTATAAAGAATGAGACTCCAAGACGACTGTACCGAAATTATGCAGACTTTTTTATTACATATATTTAATTCCATTCAACCTTTTTTTTCTTTTCCAAATCAAAATTCAGTCTATATATATTGTCATATTTAATGAGTTTTGGGTTATTTTTTAACTTTTATCTATTGTTGGTAACGTGTATGATACAACGGTGCATGGTGTCCACTCTCCCACTATTTCTTGCATTGATTCCGTACAGTTATCCAAGATTAGTATACATTTTAGGATTATGCTAGGTTAAGACACTTATGAACCGAGCGCTGCGGCAAGGACATGCAAGGGGGCAGAGTACCGCGGCTAGGACATGCTAGGGACCGTTCGCGCCGCAGCAAGAACGGGCTCTTTTTCTGTCTTGCAATTCAACGCAACTAAAGCACGTAACTTCCTTGGGGTTCTGCCTACTACAGATTACTTTTAAACTCCATGGTACACAATTTTCTACAGATTACGGCTTTCTTAGCTGGCATACGTACTAAATCAAAAACTATTTACATTTAAAAAGTTTCACTCAAAATCCGTGTTTGTTTGGACACCCTTTAAAAGATTTGTATGGGTCTACGACTGGTACCTGTACATGTGGTCATCAGCTGGAGTGGTTGACCGTCAGGTACTAAGAACTGACCAGCGCCAGTAGTTGTGATCAGAACACCCTGAGGTCAAAACTTTTGTATTTTAAATCTCTTCAGAGCCTTTAGAACGCGCTGAGTCGGTCTCTGCTCCACGATGAAATAAGGGTCCCGGATATCAAGATAGTCAGGAAGTCTTAATTTTGGAACCCATTTTCATCATATGAAGTTTTTTGTATTTGCTAGTGTATATTTTCTTGTTTTTTTTTTGCCTATACATTTTAAATAAAAAAGTAAATTCAGTCTTCTACGCCATTTTCGAAGGATTTTTTACTAGAGATGAAAACATTCCCCCCCCTCTAGCGGTTCAAGTAAATCGGGGACCCTTTATTTGAATTATTTTCAACTTATCTCTTTGTTAACTTCTCTGTAATCAATATAAACAAAAAAATAAATTCTTTTATTGAAAAATTACGGTTTACTATAACTAAGTACTTCCTGTATTTCGAAATGTTTTTAGTCATATTTTAATCGCTAATTCAAAATCCATAGAAAAGGGCATAAAAGATTGATATTATACCTTTAGATTAGAAAAACATACATAAATCAGAAAATACGAAAAAAAACTTCATTAAACGGGTGAATATTTTTTTCAATGTTAAAACTCACTCACTTTTAAGTGCAGGGTCTCTAATTTACCATGATAAGGATTCCGAGCTTAGTGATAATGTTAGCGTTGTTACTGTTAAATAATAAGAAAAAAACCTCGAGTAATTTTTGATAGTAAGAGAATAATTTTAAAGTTACTGTGGCAGTTTAGTTTGTTTGCATAAAATATAAGCAAAAATCACACTATTTTCAGTTAAACCAAATTGTGTGTTTAAATTAATTTTTTCAATAAATATGTATAATTTTTAAAAATCATTACAAATATTATTTTTCAATGATAACCTTGAATGGTGAATCAGCTAAAACTTGGATGAAAACTGATCCATCATCAGCCATTTCTGTGTTCACTTCTATCCCGCTAGGTCCAGTCTAGAAATACCTTTTCTCAAATACTATACGAAAATTTAACCATTTTTTGATTCTGCACATTTACAAATTTGAACACCATGAAATTGATTTTTAACAGAAAAGGCGTTATTGGTTGTTTCTCGAACATGCATCTAGCCATATATCATATTGTCTTGAGTAATTTTGCTACCAGATTTTTTTTTAAGTTACAAAAAGCATGCATTTGAGATTTTTGAGATTTCAAAAATACTCTACATAACTTCTGAAGCGAAAATTATATTTTGTCAACTGGTTTAAGGTTAAGATTTATTCTAAAGTTAAGCCTTATCATCTGCGAAATTAAATATACTTATTCCATGAAAGTTAAAATTCATGTTTCCTGAGTCCGAATTAAATGAATTTGAGCCGCGTCTCAAATCCCCCAAAAACCGGTTTCAATTTTGAGCGCCGGCTTAAATCTTGAAAAATTTAATACGATTTTAAGTGGAACCAACCATATTTGAGCCGCGGCTTAACTTTAAGCCACGGCTATAATTATTTAAAGTCATATTTCCTGAAAGTTTGGCGTACCTGCGCTGAAGTACCATAATGTGCAGGGTTGTCCACACATTCTGGTGCCCCTGTTGGTAACCCTGAAAACACTTTGTTTGAAGAGAGTGTCAACAAAACTTTAAGTAACCCTCGATTTATCAGAAAGGGTTCGTTCATTTATTGAAGAAAAATCCTATACTTTCAGTCGAAATAACAATTGCTTCGTATGTGCACTGCGTCTCAGGTTCAATAAAGTATTTAAAATAAGCCTAGAAGTCGTCATCCTATTCCGCAGCTGTATGGGCCCACTGTACATCTTTAATCTTTTTAATCAACAAAATTAATGACAAGCAATATTTTTGAAAAAAATTCCAAGTATGAATATTGAATATTTACCGTATGAGAGGCTAATAAGACCGAACAGTATAACCCACTTCATTGTAATGCACGCTTAATTATCTTAGTTGTTCTTAATCATTGTGTTATCTTTCTTTAGTCTTACAATAAACATAAATTCAAGATAATGAATTGAGACCATTCAAACTTCAATTAAGTTTTAAATTAAACTCTTATATAATAAAATATTTTTATAAAATCCTATAGCACTTTCATGTTGGACACTATCACCTAGAATCCTATAGCACTTTCATGTTGGACACTATCACCTAGAATCCTATAGCACTTTCATGTTGGATACTATCACCTAGAATCCTATAGCATTCTCATGTTGGACACTATTACCTAGAATCCTACAGCACTCTCATGTTGGACACTATCACCTAGAATCCTACAGCACTCTCATGTTGGACACTAAAATTTTTAAAAAGCTCTTGAAAAATGAATTAGAAACATTGTCGCATCGATTCTTAATATTTGTAAAACACAAAAAAATATTTTTTACATTTTTCCGAAACTTTTTTATTTTTAACTTTCATAAAACCAAAACTATTAAAGTAAACGGTCTAATTTTTTTTAATGAGCTGGCCTTGAAAAATTGGGCAATGAACATGCAAAGCAACCCTATCCCTTTATTCTAAAAACTTTTTCTAGAGGGGCCGTGGGACGCCTCACCCCCTCCCCACCCCCCTCCAGGATATACATAGATTCAGACATATGAAATACGAGCATTTTTATCATAACTTGACTTTTAATCAATAAACGAACATTTACTTTATTTCTAGACTTTGTATCAAGACAAAATAAACAATTTTAAATGTGTAAATAAACTATTTTTTTCAGAAATTTAATAGATAGACAAGCATTGACGCAAAAGTTAAATGCACATATTTTCTACCGTAAACAAAATATTATGTTACAACTGGGGCAAAGGTGGATTCGGTTCAAACATGCGTTCAAAGCATGTATTCAAGGTTTGCATTTTCCAACGACAAATATATAGCCGTTTTGGCGTTTATTGGATACAACAAACAAACAGATAGACAGACAGACAGACAAGCAAAGTATCTATAGATATAAGGAAGATAGGTCAAACCAAAGACTTTCCTAATTATATAGACGAGGCGTCGGAAATTTATCCGACTATTGTGTACACCTGTACAGCTGTATTTTGACGTCATTGGTTATTTTGGTTTTTTGCCAGTCTAAAGATCGATATTAAACCCTTAGTTATTTAACACAATTGTGAATGTTTTGTGCTAAAGAATAACTAAAAGTAGCGATATTTATTTGTATTTTAAAATTTATTTACTCATTTGTTGGATATAAGGATCGTCTGGTAAATTATAGCTGGAGTTGTGATAAGGTTACGCATCTCTTTTGAGTCAAATATTTTTCCTGAGGTTCTATGGAATGGAATTTTAGGCGATGAAGAAGAGAGGGGACCACCAGAAATTTCAAATATTATTATTATAAAGATTTATTCACACACAAATATATAAATACATATATAAATGGTGTAGTTTAAATTATAAACGGTAAATAATTTTTTTGTAAATGTCGTCTTCTGTTTAATCTTAGACAAAGAAATGATATCACATAATTTAATACATTAATCTTACTCTTCAATTAATTTATGGGAATTTTGTTTCAAAATATATCCACCACTAAAGAAATTAGCAAAGTCTTTGGGTCAAACTGGGATCGAAAGTCACAGCTTGTCAGATAAAGGACCAAAGTGGTAACTCAACGTATGATGATGAACGTACTTGTATTCATATTTTAACAAACAGTTTAGCTTAAGTTTAAACGTGCCCAGAGATGGATATTAAAGAATTTGAGCCGCGGTTTAAATCCGCAAAAACCCAGTTTAAATTCAGCGCCGGCTTAATTCTTGAAACATTTGATACAATTTTAAGTGGAACCAACCATATTTAAACCGCGGCTTAAATTTAAACCGCCGCTCAAATTCTTTAAATTCGGCCACAGTTCTAGGGAATATGAAGAGTTATAATGAATTTCTAAAAGTCAAAAAGAAGAAAAAAAATCAACAATAAGAATAAATTGATTTTTAATGAATGAATAAAAAAATACAATCAAATAAATGGGAAAACCAGATTTTATTTGTAGAAATCATTTTTTTTTTACATTCCAGTTGTTGTTGAGCAAATAGATTGGTTGAAGGGAACACTTATCAGCTGTTGTTGAATGGGAGGGTCAGCTATTGTTAGTTTAAGCATTCAGCTGTTGCGGGTGAAAGTTGTAAGTTGTTGCTTGGTGAAGGGATCAGGTGTTGTTGGTCGAAGGGATCAGGTGTTGTTGGTCGAAGGGATCAGCTGTTGTTGGTTGAGTGGATCATCTTTTGTTGGTTGAAGGAATCAGCTATTTTTTTCTCGAAGAAATCAGTTGTGTTTAGTTGAAGAAATCAGCTGTTCTTGGCTAAAGGAATCAGCTGTTTTTGGCTAAATGTATCAGCTGTTTTTGGATGAAGGAATCAGCTGTTTCTTTGACGACGGGATCAACTGCATTTAGTAGAAGAAATTTTTATGGCTATAGGAATCAGCTGTTTTTGGTTGAAAGGATCAGTTAATTTTGTTGAAGATTAGTGTGAATTTAGCTGAATTGAATATCAGTCCAGTAGGTTGTGAAATCCCGTACAATTATCAAGTTGAATTCAGCATTTTCTGTTGGGTCATCCTAAAGTGAACATGTAAATAATTTCAAATTAAAAAATGTTTTACTTAAATAGAACTCTTTAAGGCACTGTAAGCGTAATTTCAAGTGACCCGGTCCATGCAAAGATTTTTATTATTCAAATCTTTTTATTGATCAAAAAGTACAAAAATAACAAAGTAAACTTTACATATATATCAAAAACACGTACACTTTGATTTTAATATTTTACATAGAGCATCATTTATTTATATAGAAATCGTAAATATTTGGTAAATGACACATTTTTAATGTTTTAATTTTAAAGTAAAGTAAATTCAGTAAAGTAAGCTGGCTAAAGTTAATAAGAGATCGTAGGGACAAAAAAAAATACATTTTCACTCTTCAAATAAAGGTCGATTTGCAACAAGTAGCAAAAGGCAGAATCTTAGAAGGTGATCAGAAAAAATATAAAATAACAAGAAGCGAATAACGTACAAGAATAAAAGAATAAGGCGATACACCATGAAGTAAGTAACCAATGGTATCTCGTTTTGAAATGTTAACGAGAGGTGTTTTAAACATGAGGATTAATAATAGACCACTATAGAACGATAAATGCTTACAATAAAAGACCTTTTTGTATTTTTTCTGAAGCTAAAGCATTAGACTTTAATATAAAGGTCGATTTACAACATGTAGGAAAAAGCAGAAACTATGAAGGGGATCAGAAAAAAATACCAAAAAATATAGAAAAATGGAAAAATAGAAAGAAGGTGAGACGATTCACCAGTAAGTAACCAATATTATCTCGTTTTGAATTGTTGATGATAGGTGTTTAAAACAAGATAGATTAATTATGTGAAGACTAGTTGTGTGAGATCCATGTAGTTGACCTAAGCTGGGTTTTGACTTTTGCGGAAACATAAGATAGATCATGTTTAAGGACGAGAAAGAGGCTATTTACTAATTATAGTGTTTCGAGTACTTGAGGTCTCGAATTTAAGATCTTGCAGTTCAAATGTTGAAATTCAATTAATGGATTAAAGTATTTGAAGCCTAAATATTTAAAACTTTTAAATTTCTTATTTCCCGTAGCTAGAATTTTCCTTTTCAAAATTCTTAGAACTTTCCTTTGACCAATTTTGTGAGAGTAATTTTTACTTTATATACAGCGTTTCACCATAAAAGAAAAATATGAAAAATATTGAAGGAAAACTAGAACGGCGTTTCACCCAATTAATTGAAGACATAATAGAAATAAATAAAACAAAGGGCGATTCACCGAAATATTAGAATGTGGATGTTAGAACTGCAGCTTTTAACACATAACCTGTGTAAACTTACACAATGCAAAGATGATAAGCTTGATTCACAACGTTACCCTGAAAGCTTTTTAGTGATTTTTCTATTAACCCTATTAATGCGGGGGGGGAGGGTCAATTTGACCCCCCCCCCTATGGTTTTATTTACATAACTCAAAAAGTATTGGTCTGATGCTTTTGAAATTTTATGACTTTTCCTAAATACCCAAAGCCCTTCCTTTAGGTCTAAAACCGGGCTTTTATACTAACTGCCTGAGTCCTCAGGCACACCGCCTAAATGACTACTTTTTCCTGTACCAAACTAAACCTTTGTTTTGACCCAATTTCAGTTATCAGGGTTGGATAATTTTTAGCTTTTTGGAAATCCTATGACAGAAGGAAACAGATTGCACAAGTTTAAGGTTTTCTTAATTACACATCCGGTTATTCAAAATTTTGCATATTTGAAATGGTATGGTCAATGGCTTTTCAAATATGTAAATCTTATAATTTTTGGACATTTTTTTGCAAACATTTTTACTTTATAACTGGATTTTTCAAAAAAGTAAAGCATAATAGCTTTCCAATTATGCATCATTTGTCATATTTGGACACCAAACATAGGATTTGGAGGGTGGAATACCCCTTGGGGTACCGTTATGAATCGGCCATTCCCATTTATGTATGGAGGGTCACTTATAATTACGCTTAAAATCCCTTTAACAGAAATATTTAATTAAATCAGTACTATTGGCTCCAGTACAAAAGGTAGAATTACAAAAGATAGAATGACAAAAGGTAGAACGATCATAAGGTAGAACGACAAAAGGTAGAACGATCAAAAGGTAGAACAAACAAAAGGTAAAATGTTCAAAAGGTAGAATTACAAAAGGTAGAACGTTCAAAAGATAGAATTTTTCAAAATTAAAATTTTTTTTAAATGTCAAAAAAATTCAAAAAATAATGTTTCTTATTTATTAGGACTAATTTTTAATTTACAAATGTACATGATTTTAATCCATGCCATGCAATAATTTTGGCAAGCTGTTTCATAAGGTCATGTTTTTAATCCTAGTACGTTTATCTCTCTGTTTTTGTTTGCCCGCGTTCTCAGTGCTGTTTGCACCACTGGCTGAATCAAGAAGAGTTCATATCTCTGGTCGTCAATCAATGTTCTTTTCTTCTTTTCATTTACTCCATAGTTGACCAACCTCTCCATGCTGAATTCAACCGAGAAATGCAGTTTTGTGAATTTTTTTTTTAAAATTCGCGGATTTTCTTGTAAAAATTAGAAAATTTTCTTGTAAAAATTAGAAAATTTTCTTCCTTCTCAAAAATAAAAAAATTCGAACGTTCTACCTTTTGTTTATTCTACCTTTTGATCGTTCTACCTTTTGATTGTTCTACCTTTTGTAATTCTACCTTTTGTCATTCTACCTTTTGATCGTTCTACCTTTTGATTGTTCTACCTTTTGATTGTTCTACCTTTTGTAATTCTACCTTTTGTACGTGAGCCGTACTATTAACCTTTTGTTTATTCTACCTTTTGATCGTTCTACCTTTTGATTGTTCTACCTTTTGTAATTCTACCTTTTGACGTGAGCCGTACTATTTTAACAGTGCTTAAAGAATCTTTTTTAATACAAAAGGATAATTTTAATGTTATTTAACACCAAAACTATAATCATACCTTGACAAAGATAGCACTAACTTCAGACTTGAGCTCACTGCTCTCGTGAGTGATTCCTAAATTATTTTTGATATCTTAAAGATTTGATTTACACTTACTTTAAAGGACGCCCTACTAGTTATTAGTCGCATTAAGGTTTCACCTTTATCATATTTCGAATTCTTTCTTTTTGCTAAAAATATAACAATTATAAATCAATCTTTGACCATAAACCTATTGCTGGATTAAACCCCCCCCCCTGATATATTGTGGAGGGGTGTATGTTTCCAATACTGACCTATCACAAAGTACATTGACAAACGTTTAAATTTATAAAGTAAAGATTTAAAAGGAGATTGTTTTGTTTTGTGAAGGAACTGAGTTTTTGTCAAATTTGAGTATCTTTATATCTTTGTAACCTGATAGTGATAGTGATATTTAAAACTTAAACTACCTTTGCATAGAGTCATAGTGTGAAGGGGTTGACCGGCGGGTACAATAAATTGACCAGAAGCTGCAGTTCCAGTGATCAGTATTCCCTGAACACAGTAATTAGTATACCCTGAACACAGTAATTAGTATTCCCTGAACACAGTAATCAGTATACCATGAACACAGTGATAAGTATTCCCTGAACACAGTATTCCCTGAACACAGTATTCCCTGAACACAGTAATTAGTATACCATGAACACAGTAATTAGTATTCCCTGAACACAGTAATTAGTATACCTTGAACACAGTAATAAATGTTCCCTGAACACAGTAATTAGTATACCTTGAACACAGTAATAAGTATTCCCTGAACACAGTAATTAGTATACCTTGAACACAGTAATAAGTATTCCCTGAACACAGTAATTAGTATTCCCTGAACACAGTAATAAGTATTCCCTGAACACAGTAATAAGTTTTCCATGAACACAGTAATCAGTATACCCTGAACACAGTAATCAGTATCCCCTGAACACAGTAATCAGTATTCTCTGAACACAGTAATCAGTATTCTCTGAACACAGTAATCAGTATACCATGAACACAGTAATCAGTATACCATGAACACAGTAATTAGTATACCTTGAACACAGTAATCCATATTCCCTGAACACAGTAATCAGTATACCATGTATACCATGAACACAGTAATCAGTATACCATGAACACAGTAATCAGTATACCATGAACACAGTAATCAGTACACCATGAACACAGTAATCATTATACCATGAACATATAATCAGTATACCATGAACACAGTCGATCTTATTACTGAGGAGCCATCAAACAGCTTAAACATTAGTATAACGGATCCAATAGACTGCTCAATGCCCATCATAGAAAGGGCTACCTTGAAGGGTGGATCAGCAGAAACTGTTATGAGAACTGACCCATCTTCAGCTATATCAGTCGTTGCAGTTACTCCACTGGGTCCAGTCTACAATAAACCATGGTTGAGTTTTGGTTGGAAACTTAGGAATAATAGACCATTAACTATTAGAACCTTTGACATGATGCCTCATTTTCAAATCTTTATTTTCTTTTATTTAAAAATTAAAATTTACCAATTATTTATTCAAGTCTTTAAGTGAAATCTCTTTTTTTTAGGAATTGAGTCTTTGCCACAAAATCTGATTTTTCAAACGTTGTGTTCTGTTATATCAAATATTCTTAGTTTGAAATAATATCAAAGGTTTACATTATTAGGTTGGAAAGATATTGGGATTAGAAAATTTGAGTTTGTGGCAAAGACTCCATTCCTATCAGTTTTGTTTTATGTCAAGATTTTTATTTTACCAATTATGGAAAAACCATTATTTGATCTTTGGAATTTTTTTTTAATAATTTCTGCTAAATTTTCTTTTTCTCTATTTATCTACCTATCTATCTATCTATCTATCTATATATCTATCTAACTATCTATCTATCTAACTATCTATCTATCAAACTATCTATCTATCTATCTACTTATCTATCTATATATCTATCTAACTATCTATCTATCTAACTATCTATCTATCTAACTATCTATCTATCTATCTATCTATCTACCTATTATCTAACCTGTGGTGATGTACCAAAATGACCAGGTTTATCAGCGCAGTAAGGAGCCCCACCAGGTAATCCTGGTTAAAACATCATAATTTTATAAAATTAATTTTACAGAAAAATAAGTAAAAATGTGTTCTCATTCCCTCATTATTTTTTTTATTTACTAGCCGAAGAGCCCGGCGTTGCCCGTGGAAAAAAATATTTTCGATTTTTTAAGCTTACAACATGAGTGTCCACAAAAAATTTCAGCCCAATCGGTCCAGCCGTTGGGCCGGCTATACGCAACATATATATATACTAATGTCTTGTTTTATTATGTAAATTAATTATTTTTCTACAAAATCTACTATTCTTAAAAATTTTGCTTTTTAGAGGTTTTCTGAAACGCGTATGAATGTATTTTTAAAATAACATTTTAAGAGACAATGAAAACAATGCTCGATTTCAAACCTTTATCTGATCTATAATGTGGAAGATATTGTCGTTTTCCAATCTTAAAAAGCGTGTAACTCCACGTTGTTCTCCTGCAGTAAAAATGCTCAAGTCATAATTGTAGAGAAACCATAAATGAAAATGATAAATTTTTTAATTATAATTATTGATATCTAATTCAAACTTGATCAGTTGGAGCTTTTAAAGGTTCAACGTTGGCGAATCGAGCATTGCCATCTTTTCATGGTGGGTCACTTGAAATTACGCATACAGTCCCTATCATGGAACAGTTTTTTCTTTCATTGATATCGATTTATTTTTATTTTTAACATTTACCGTAAGATATTCCAATAAGACTTATAAGGATTAAACACTTCATAATGATGGCTTTATTTTGTTACTGTTGAACTGTTTAGTCCATGCTCTCTTGTGTTATCTCTCTCTGGTGCTAAACTAACTGTCCGACACGGGATCGGAACCATTTTAAAACAAGATGTCAAAGAGAATTTCTTATTTTAAAAGAGAAATCTGAGTAAATTATTCCGCCTAAAGCACAATAGAAACGGTTTATAACAGCCCCTTTCAAACCTAGAATGGGAGAATTAAATTTATCGAAAAAACAAATCATTATTTTGAATTTGTTGTTTTCTGTGTAGAACAGTTTTTCCGTTGGACTGTTCAAAGATAGCCGACTCTCTCCCCTATTAAATTTGATAAGAATTATGAAAGAGATCATATTATACATAATATAAAATAAAATAAAGTACAAGGTTAAATCATTTACACGCGGCGAGGGCGGAAAATTTCTGGAACCTTCCATTATAAACCTACTTTTTTACTTTTCAGTTTAAAATTGTTTTTAAAATTCTGTAATATAAAACTTTTCATAATTATCGTGATTTTATATTATCGGAAATAAATATTTTTCCGTTAAATTCTCATATATTGATTTTTTGGTATATCTTTTAGAATGTTTTTCTTTTTTGTAACTCGTAAACTATGCTCCCAAATAAAATCGGCGAAAATCAGGTTGACCAATTTAAAGATGTTTTGATAGACATCCTAAAGTTTAATGAAATCTACACAAATTTTTCTTTAGAAAAAAAATCAGTTAACAGTTGCCCATTGGTCAATTGTCCATTCTTTTGATGGTGATAATAATGTTACTTCCTGAAACAATAAAACGAATTCTAAAATTGCGAATTTACAACTAACAATATTATAGACTTTTCCTTTATCCATACATCCAATCTTTATAAAATTATATGATTACATTAAAGTAAATAACATATTGGTTAATATAGCTTTTCTTGCCTTTTGGCTTTAAAGCATCCTTTTAAAAGGACGTTAAAAAAAATGTTTAATAAATTTTCACATTTTACTCCAAACCCTGGGACCACTCCAAAATCCTGAGAGCAGCAACCCCTCCCTCGCTGAGCGGAAAAATCTTGTTTTGTATACCCTCAATCCCGATTGCTAAATCTCGAAATCCACTGTGGACACTTTTCATTTTCTGCTTAATTTTCTCTTTTGGATATCCCTGCGCGCTGGATTAGGAAAAAATTCTCGGCTTCTGATTGGCTGTTTGCTTTCTGCAATCGACACTCTGATTGGTTGCATTTCAGATAATTTTCTGGATATTAATTAGAGATTGAGAAAGCAATAAACTTAATATTGATCTTAGCTCTGCCTACAGTAATCCTAAGAATTACAATTCTTTGTTGTTTATTATTGCCATTTTATATTCGGACATAGCAGTTGTATATAAAAAGGCTTTTATTTTTAAAAGAAAAAAAACATAATGAAATATGTAATTCGTTTTACTCTTGAGCTTGATATTTTTAAATCCTCCGATTAGCTGTTTTCAAGCAGTAGAACTTGAATCAGCTGTTTTTGAATTAACTGATCTTGAATCAGCTGAACTTGATATCGTTCCAATATGTTTCGAAATCTCGCATAACAATCATGTTAAATTCAGCCTCTGCAGAAGGGTCAGTCTAGATAATAAATAAATAAATGAATAAATAAAAAATAACTAAATAAATAAATAGATAAACAAATAAACAAAAAATTTCAAAAATAAATAAAAAAATATCTAAATAAATAACTAAATAGCAGAATAATTTTAATAAAAATTGAATAGTTAAATATCTAATTTAAAAAATATAAAATAATTTTTTAATATGAATAAATAATTCCCTATTATGATAAACAAATAAATAAAGACAAAGTTAGGCGAGGAATACAATTTTTAAATTCATCCCAATGTTTAATTTATACTTCTAAGAAAACTATCCATACCTTAACAAATGTTGCACTAATCTCTGATTTGGGTTCGTTATCAGTGTGTGTTATTCCTGAAGAAAAAAAAATTCAATATTTTTTGTCTTAAATTTCTTTATTGTCTTTAGAGATATGCATGTAAAAGAAGGGTTTCCATCACAACACCCCCCCCCTTTTTTTGAAAGTGGAATACATCTTTATTTTAATATACAAATCTTTAAATCCCTGCTAATTTTTTTTATTTAGGAGGTGTAAACATTGCAAAAAGAATGTCCTTCAAACGATTAAAAAAATCGTGTTTAAAAAAATATGATCGCGGATATAAGACGACCCTTTGTAAGATTTGTCTCAGAAGAGTGACGTGACTTATCACCCTTAAGATCTTTGTTTAAAGAAAAATTAATAAAATATCCTCATTTGTCTGTCTAAAAATTGTTCATTTCGAATTGTGGTTTCTCTATAAAAGTGACTCACAGATCTTATGCAGTAGAGAACAAAGAACGCGATTTACAGAATGAGAAAATTTTTGAGATAGAAAAACGCGGATATCTCCCCATTGTTACTCAGACAAAGATTGAAAAGGTACTGTTGTGAATGGGGCATGCCACTCTCTAAATAGATGATTTGTACCTGTACATGACATAATTTTGAGAGGTTGACCGTCAGGAACCTTGAACTGACCCGCAGCTGTACTGGTAATCAGGATACCCTAAACCAACGAGGTGTTATGATGAATAGAACACTAGTGTACGCAAATCCTTTACTAATGTAGAGACTAGGAAATACAATGAAAGCGTACTGCATATTAGATTACTGTAAGTTAGACTAAAAATACCTTCTGTAAATTATTAGAAACCGTTGTTTAACATCGGGATCCATTATAAACTTTGTTTTTTAAAAGTCTTTTGGTAGGAACAAAAACAAACTTATCCTTATCAGGTTTGTTTTTATTTTCTTTAAGAAACCAGAGCTGGGAACTTTAGAATGGTGATTATTAGGATTAATGCATAATCCTCTCTTTTTGCTAATCTCGAGACTAACATAATCTTGAGATTATGTTAGTCTCGAAATTAAATATTTAGAAAAAATTTGATTCTAGGGAATTTAAAACATTAAATGCCAACGCCAGATTTTTTCGTTTTCTTGACTGGAAGGGCATTCACTTAATTGCTCACAAATCTATTTATTAATAAATTAGTTAAAATTACTTTTTTTTTAAATCTCAAACGTAATTTTACATATTTTTCTTCGCCGACTAATTTACAAAATGGCCGACAACAAATTCTTGATTTGTATGAAATTGTGGAGGTCTCTCATTGAATAGAATTTATTTTCAAGGCTGTCATTGGTCAATTCAATTTACAAACTATATTCCTGCACTCTCATTGGAGAAAACAATATACGGATATCCAAAGAGAGAGAAATATACGGATATCCAAAGAGAGAGAAAAAGAGTGGATTAAGGACTAAAATCCAACTGATGTACGTTACGTACCTTTGGTATTTTAAACTTAGATCACTTAATCTGACAGAATTCATAGTTTAAAATATCTAAGGTCTACGACCGTGGGTTGCAAAGATATATGGATAAGAAAATCAGAGTTTGTGGCAAAGGCTCAATTCCTATAAGAATATTTTATTTGATTATTGTAAACTTACTTTTTAATGCCCCATTGGTCACTGACAAACCCCCCCCCCCTTAATTTACAGAATTTATATGTATGTTTCCTTATATTTATTAATCTCTGCAAACGTAAACTTATATTTTTCTTTGCCTAATTACTGAATACGCCATCAAAAGATTGTATTCAAGGTAGAACCCTCAATGTAGTCGTTAGATTAAAAGAGTTACAGCTCGACTTTAAAGTCTCATCCTTTGAAGGTAACCCTGTACAATGGAATAATCCAAGTTACCTTAAATGGAGTTTTAGCGCTAACTTTTATATTCACGGAACCATCATCAGTCTTCTCAGCATCGATTGTGAGGTCGTGAGGAGTTGTCTGTAAAAAAGGACTATATGTACATTGTAAATTACAAAATCGAGTTACGATTTTTTTTTAAATTGGTTGATTATGGTTTATTTAAAAATATCTTTATCTGACATTTACTAACATTTTATTTTGCTTTTGTGCATTTTTACAAAATAAAGCGGAAAATAAAGCAGAAAAAAAAGATATTTTTAGTTACATCTTTTTCTATTTGTTGTTATAATATTTTCATTTGAATGCCTCTATATTCAGATATTTAAATGGATTGTC